GTTAACAATTTTTCTTTAGAAATTTGAGAAATTTTAATATTGAAATGCTAGTTTCAATTATAAGGACTTTAAGGATTTGGGAAATAATGTGTAATAATTAAAATATGCTTGAAACAATATTAGCATTTGTCATATCCAAAAGTAAATTAATTTTTAGGCCAAAAAAAAAATTGTAACCTGATTTTGTGAAAGAACATTATAGGTCAAAAAACATAGGAAAAATTATTATAAAATCTCCTTGAATTATATAAATAAAAATTTGATCTTTTAAAATATCATAATTCCAATGAAGTTTCTACAGACTTTTATATTAATAAATTTTAAATTAAAAATATTATTTTATCTTTATTAATAAATTGTGATTTCTTGTTCAATTATTACGATTTCTTGAATAAAAGTAGTTATTATTCCTTAAAAAAATAGTTAAGATTAAGACTTGTTATTTTGAAAACTTATTTTTTAATAAAAAAATTATAATTGATAAATTGTGATTTTTTATTCAACTCTTGCAACTTACAAAGCAGAAGTTGTTGTTCTTTAAGTTGAAGTTATGATTGGGGCTTGTTAATTTAAAAAGTTTTTCAATAACAGAAATTATATTTGATAAGTTATGATTTTTTATTCAACTCTTGTGATTTACAAAATAAAAATTATTATTCCTTAAGAAAAAGTTGTAATTGAGTTTGCTATTTTTAATAAAAGTAAAATAGTTTTTTAATTTTTAAAATTTATTTACACAAAAATTTTTAAAAACTTCAGTAAAATTATGACATTTAAAAATATTAAATTGTTATTTATATAATTTAAAAAAAATTATTGTTTTTTTTTTCAAAATCATAAGCTCAATCGGACTGGATGTGGATGAGAATAGAGATTGTGAGTTAGATTGTGAGGTGGAAATGAATGGCTGATTTCTCCCCCCTTTCATGAATTGATGATATGTCGCTCTCATTGCCGTTCAATAAATCCTCCTCTTACCAAATCCATGTACGTGATATGAGAGAGACCATTAGAAAATCATTCAACTCCACAAGTATGTTTCTTAGACTCAGCTGATCTCAGCCAATGTGGGAAGTATATTTAAACAAGTATTATTTAATTTAAAGTTGTATACATCATATTTATTATTATTATTTTTTGGCCAAAGATATTTATTATTATTGAAAGCACGGAAAAATACTGAGTTAATAAAATCACGCCGAGAAAAAATTTATCTAGTAGTCAGTGCTCGACTTTTTTGGGAATTTCAAATGCTCCAAAGCTTCGTTCGAAATTATATTTTTTTTAGAAAGATTAATCTATAAGTCCTTCTAGATTTTTTGTAATTTTGAATTAAGTTCATATAGTTTATTTTATTTTAATAAAACCCTTATCATTTAAAGTATTAAATACGTTAGTTCCTTAAAGTTAAAATTATTAATCGATATTGACTTTTTCAAAATAAAAACACTTTTAAAATTTATAAAAAAATTGATTTTATACAATACTTACATTTTTTATTTTTTATGAAAATTATATATAACTTAACAATTTTTTGTTAATTAAAGTTCTACTTCAATTATAATGTTATAAATTTGAGAAATTTTCTATTTAAATGTTAGTTCCAATTATAAGGACTTTAAGAATTTGGGAAATAATATGTAATAACAAAAATATGCTTGAAACAATATTAGTAATTGTCATCTCCAAAAGTACACAGATTTTGTGAAAGAACATTAGAGATCAAAGAACATTGGAAAAATGATGATAAAATCCTCTTGAATTATATAAATAAAAATTTAATCTCTCAAAATGTCATAATTTTATTAAATTTCTTACAGACTTTTATATCAATAAATTTTAAATTAAAAAGATCATTTTACCCTTATTAATAAGTTGTTATTTCTTGCTCAATTATTGCAATTCTTTGAATAAAAGTTATTATTTCTTAAATAAGAGTTGAAATTAAGACTTGTTATTTTAAAAATTTACAAAAACTACAATTGAAAAATTGTAATTTTCTATTCAACTCTTGCAGTTCACAAAATAAAAATTATTATTCTTTAAGTAGAAATTATGATTGGAACTTGTTATTTTGAGAAGTTTTTCAATAACAAAAATTACATTTAATAAGTTGTGATTTCTTTTTCAACACTTATGATTTATATAACAAAAATTATTATTTCTTAAGCAAATGTAATTGGATTTGCTATTTTCAATAAGAGTAAAATGATTTTTTTAACTTCAAAAATTTTCTAACACAGAAGTCTCCAGAAATTTCAATAAAATTATGGTATTTGAAGAGATGAGATTGTCATTTATATAATTTGAAAAAAAAATTATTCTTATTTTCCCAAAACATAAGCTCAATTGAACTGGATGTGGATGAAAATAAAGATTGAGAGTTGGACTGAGAGGTGGAAATGAATGATTGATTTTTCTTGACCAAAAGTCTCTCCATTTCTTTTTTTTTTATTTTTCTCCACTTCTCCCATCTCAACCACACATAGTATTTTATTAAATGAATTTTTAAAATTAAAAAATTAATGAATAGTTGAAATAGAAAAAATTGAGAGAAATGGAGAGAAAAAAGTGGAGAGGTTCTTCCCCCAATTTTCCCCCCTTCATGAATTGATGGTGCGTCCTTCCCACTGCTTTTTAATAAATCCTCCCCTTACCTAATCCATTTGCGTGAAATGTGAGAGACCATTAGAAAATCATTCAACTCCACAAATATTTTTCTTTGACTCAGCTGATCTCAGGCAATATGAGAAGTATATTTTAAAAAAATATTATATAAAGTTGTATACATCATATTTATTATTATATTTTTTAGCCAAAAAAGACAATTTTATTAATCATCAAAAGAAAGTAATACAAACTCTAATAGCCAAAGCCAAATTAAGCACTCAAAGACACCAAAAAAAAAATGCAACAGCAAAACAACACAAAAGCACAGTGACAAAATTCAACCAATTCCTTCTTTATCGAAATTAACCACAGCACTATACCAGGTTGCAATTAAAAAAGATGGTATATCAGTCAACCAAACAGGTTGCATCATCTTCTTTGCACCAAAGGTTGCCAGCATATCAGCAACTCTATTCCCTTATCTAGAAACAAGAGAAAATGACACATTCTGCAAAGTTAATAAAATCACGCCGAGAAATAATTCATCTACTAGTCAGTGTTCAACTTTTTTGGGGATTTCAAATGGTCGGAAGCTTCGTTCTAAATTATATATTTTTTAGAAAGATTAATCTACAAGTCCTTCTTAACTTTTTTAATGTTGAATTAGGTTCATGTAGTTTATTTTATTTTAATAAAATCTTTATAATTTGATCTATTAAATACATTAGTTCTTGAAAGTTAAAATTATTAATTGATGTTGACTTTTTCAAAATAAAAACACTTTTAAAATTTATAAAAAAATTTCTTTAATACTTTTAGCCAAAACATTTTATTTTATACAATACTTCCTTTTTTATTTTTTATGAAAATTATAAATAACTTATATATATATATATATATATTAAAGTTATTTAGAAAACATAATCTTGTTATATAAATTTTGAATTATAAAAATTATGAAATTAATTCTTAATTATATAATCTTTTAATAAACCTATAGAAGTCATTAGTTTCATTTTTTAAAAGAGAAAATTAAAGGATTTTAACAATCAGATATTAACACATTTAATCAATAAAATAATAAGGACTTGATTAAAACAAACAGATTATAAGAACCTAATTCAAAATCATGTAAAATTATGTGAATTTTTGTATATTAATTTTTGTATTTTTTGTTTAAAAACAAAGGCCACAACTCTCGCTTTGAATTTGTTTCCTCTTTTTTTTAAAAAAAATAATGGTAGAAATTTGCAACAATTGTAAATTTATAATGGTAGGAATTGGAAAATAAACATAAAAAAGTAATAGATCGAAATTAGCTAATCATTTGGCATAAAATAGATGTCTCATAAATCAATTTTTTTATTTTTTTAATCTCTTTATTTTTTAAATATATCATGAACTGATATATAAAGTTATATTAAGTTCCAATCAATCACAATTACATGTTATATATTCAATCAAAATTTTATATTGAACCACCTAATCCTAGTCTTGTTGGATGCAAATACCGCGTCTTCGTGTCATCAACTTCCCACTTTTGTTTTCATTTTCATTTGCACCTCTATTATTTTTTTAACATATGGAACTAACATAGCAATTGTGATTTAAATTTTAATAAACTTTTTCCACCGTTGGTTGCTTGTACATGGCATTAAATTATTATTAAACTATTGGTGAGAATACTTTAGTTGATAAAAATTTAGTTCATAATCTATTTGGTTGTGGATTCAAATTTTATTATTGATATAAGTACCTAGTTATTTTCTATTGTGCATAGATATTCTCCTATTGAACGTTATCCTATTTGAGGCACAATTTGATACTAAATATGAACACATCTTCTAACGAGACTATAAAGACTTTATTAGTAGATAATATTTTTTGTAATTGTTAGTAGGTAATTTATACGTACTTTTGTAAGTTATTTGAACTTAAAAGTATGTCTTAACCATGATGAGCCATAAATCCAAATCACATGTCTGTCAAGATATTTTTATGAAATATTTTTAAATTTAAAATTATTTTCTAAAATTTCAATTTCAAGTTCCGAAAATAATTTTCTTACAGATTTTATTTTTTAATATTATAATCGTTATTAAATAATAATTTTAAATTTAATATTTTTTGTAACAACGTTTAATATTTTCAGTTTAAACAAATAATATATTTGAAAAACTAATATAAATTATAGATAAATAAACGAATGTTATATTCTAATTTTATTTCAACATAAAATTAAATAAATTAAGGAAAACTATTTCAAAATTGATTCATATATTGTACGAATGACTAAACTAATAACATATTACTGTAATTTCAAAGAATAGTGGGAGCTAAGCTGGCAATTAGAAAAAAGAGAAAAAAAGAAACTCAAGAACACAGGTCAATTAAAAATATTCGTTCCATGTAACATACATACATACAAACACTTATACATATATCTATCCATCTATTTGCAATGACCCAACCTGATCGATATTCATGCTTTCACGCACCTTACGGTCCTCACGACTTCGTATTGCTTGCTTTAATCACTGGCTTCGTCGGTTTGATCACCTCCTTCCATTTCTCTTCTGAGCTCTACGTACTTGCTCAGTGACTTCACTCAATCACACCTTTGGCAACCGCTGGAATTTCATTTCCTTTTCTTTCTTTGTTCGCTTGTTTGTTCATCTTTGTTGAGGAGCTGTACGTTGTGGCTCATCTTGTTTTCTGTTTACTTTTCCTACCTCAGAAAAAGTTGTTATAGTATATACCAGAAGAAAAATCCCAAAAAAAACTATAAAAAAAAAAAAAAAACAAAATGCAGTTTCTTGCGGCCTTATTTGGGAAAGCATTGGATGTCTTGGTGCCACGTGTTCGACGTCATGTGGCTTACCTTTGCAGCTACAGAAGCAATGTTGAAAAGCTGAAAGAACATGTTCAAAGGGTGAAAGTTGAAAAGCAGAGTATGAATGATCGAGTTCAAGAAGCTGAGCGAAAGGGGGAGAATATTCAAGAACGTGTTACCAGCTGGCTGACGAAGGTGGATGAGAAAATCACTGAAATTGATGTGTTTCTGGAAGATGAAGGCCATCTGAAGACCGGGTGCTCTACTGGTTTTCCCAACTTGAAGTTAAGGCATCAGCTTGGTAGAAAAGCGAAGAAGATGATTCCACAGTGCGTTGAGCTGCTTCAACATAAGAACTTCACTACAATTTCTCATCGTTCGGAGCCAGAAGCAATAGATGTTGCTCTTTCTGACGATGGGTATGAATCATTTAGCTCAAGAAAAGCTATTACGGAGGAGGTTATGAATTCCCTGAGAGATCCCAAATCTAAAATGATTGGTATCTATGAGCAGGGAGGTGTTGGCAAAACCACATTAGTTAAAGCAATTGCAAGGAAAGCTAAAGCAAAAAAGCTATTCAATCTTGTGATTATGGTAAATATAACAATCACTCCTGATGTAAGAAAGATTCAAGGAGAAATGGCAGACATGTTGGGGTTGAGATTAGATGATGAAAGTGAGATTGGAAGAGCAGGTCGTTTGCAACAAAGGTCGAAGAAAGAGAAGGAGAATGCCCTCCTCATTTTTGACGATCTTTGGGCTGGATTGGACTTGAATATGTTGGGTATTCAGTTTAAGGATGATGATGATAGCAACTCATTGAAAGAAAGGAAGTCCTCTAGTGATTCCAAAAGTTGCAAAATTTTGTTGACCTCTCGAAGCAAAGATGTGTTGTTGAGCGAAATGAATGCTAAGGATTCAATTTTCCCTTTGGAAGTCATAAAGCAAAAGGAGTCAAAGAAGTTGTTTGACAAGGTAGCTGGAATAACTAATCAAGATTTAGAGTTGAAATCATTAGCAACTAAAATTGTGAAGAAATGTGCAGACCTACCCTAAGCAATAGTTGCAGCTGGAAAGGCTTTAAAGAAAAATCAACACAAATTTGCATGGGAAAATGCACTACAATAAATCGAAGTGAATGGAGTACTAGAGCCTGTGGAGTTTTCTACAAAGTTAAGTTATGAGCAACTGAAAAGTGAAGAACTCAAGTCTATTTTCTTACTTTGTGCTTGTATGGGTGGGCATCCTTCAATTATGGATTTAGTAAAATATTGCATTGGCTTGGGCATATTTCAAGGAGTCAACTCAGTAAAAGAAGCCTGAGATAGAACAAATACTTTGATCAACAAGTTAAAAGACTCAAGTTTGTTGATGAATATCACCTCCTATGATTGTGTCACTATACATGATATGATTCGTGATGCTGCCCTATCAATAGCATCTAAGGAACAAAATGTGTTCATACAAAAATATGGCAAACTCGATCATTAGCCTGACAACAATAGCTTTGAAAGGTACATCTCTATCTTATTGCACCATTGTGATTTCATTGATGAGATTCCAAAAGTGATGAATTGCCCTAGTCTCCAAGTCTTCCATCTTGAATGTAAAGATCCTTCCTTGAAAATACCAACAAAACTTTTTGATAGAATGGGAGAATTGAAAGTATTGATATTGAATGGTATGGATCTATCACACTTTCCTTCCTCAATTAAGTGCTTACAAAAGCTTAGAATGCTTTGTTTGGAGCACTGCATGTTGGGTGACAACATATCTACCATTGGAGAGTTGGGGAATTTAAGAATTCTTAGTCTTTCAAGATCTTGGTTTAAATTTTTACCAAGTGAAATAAGGCAGTTGGATAAGCTACAATTGTTTGACATTAGTAATTGTGCCCAACTTAAAGTGATTCCATCTAATGTGATGTCAAAGTTGAATAGGTTGGAGGAGTTGTATATGGGAAATAGCTTGATTCAATGGGGTGTTGAGGGGAAAACATTCAATAATAAAATTGCTTCTCTTAATGAATTGAGTTATCTTCAATAATTGAGAAGTTTGGACATACATATACCGGATATCATAGCTTTGCCACGAAGCTTGTTCTTTGATAAATTAGAAAATTACAAAATTATGATTGGAGACTCCAACATGATTTTGTTGGAACATGGAGAGATTCCTACTAAGTATGAGGCAACAAGAGCTTTGAAATCCAGTATATAATCTACTCAACAGAGTGGCAATATCAAGCATCAGCTTTTCCCAATTTGGAGTCAATGTATTTGTACAAACTAGAAAGCATAGAGAAAATATGCAATTGCCAACTCACAGATGCCTCTTTTCGTAGTTTAAAAACCATCAAGATTAAAATTTGTTTTCAATTGAAATATCTCTTCTCATTTTACATTATTAGACTTCTTGCAAAGCTTGAAATAATTGAAGTTTCTCAATGTGATTCTTTGGAGGATATTGTTTTTATAGAAGGACTAGAGAATACTAGCAATGATGTAAAAGAAGATAGCATTGAGTTGCCTCAATTGCGCTCTTTGACGTTGCAATCTTTACCAGCATTGACTTGTTTCTACGTTCATGACAAGATGGTTCCATTCTTTAACGCAAAGGTATGAAATGTTAGGAATTATATTTTAAATTATATACTCAGGTAAATGAAGATGGCTTGGATTTTGGAAGTTTACTCTTATTAAATTTAATTTGCGTAAATTATATTTTTAGTGCTTTTAGAGATTGCAATATATTTTTTTTTGTTCTTGTAGATTTCACTTCCCAACATAGAGAGCTTGGAGTTGTCTTCAATCAACATCAAGAAGGTATGGGGTAACCAACCTTTGCCAAGTCCCTGCTTCCAAAATCTAACAAAATTGAAGGTTGACAATTGTAGTGGTAATTTAAAATATTTGTTTTCACTATCAATGGTTGGGAGTTTGATGAAATTGCAAAGCCTTATTGTTACAAGATGTAGAAGCATGAAGGATATATTTAACCTAACAGACATTAGTAAGGTAAGTATACATTGCATGTGAATGGATTAGGCACAAAACTGGGCATTGCTTCTTTTTTTTTCCTTATATAAATTTGGTTACAAAATGACAACTTTGGTCCATGCATAGGAGGTTGATGTCTTTTCACAATTGAGGAAATTTGAAATTACCAACATGGAGGAGCTAAAAACTATATGGCATCCCCAAGCTGCCCTACGTTCCTTTGGCAATCTAGAATCTTTGGTTATCAATCATTGCGACAAACTTGTCTCTATTTTCCCTCCTTACATGGTGGGAAGATTTCCTCATCTTGATAGATTGAATGTTTGGTGTTGCAAATTAATTGAAGAGATTTTTGACCTCTAGCCTACTCCACAAAAAAGTGATGGGAATGATACATGCTTGCGATCTATCTCTTTAATCTCCCTATGTTGAAACATGTTTGGAATAAAAATCCTCAAGGAATTCTTGACTTCAAAAATCTGCAAGATGTTCATATCTATGGATGCCCAAGCTAATTAGAGTATTTATTCCCTTTTTCCGTTGCCACTAATCTTCTAAAACTAGAGATGTTTAACATATCAAATTGTAAGTTGATTAAGGATATTGTAGCCAAGGATGATGCATCAAACAAAAGCAACTTTATATTTAAGTTTCCTAAGTTAACCTCACTTTTATTAAAAGATTTACCAGAACTAAAGTCTTTCTATCAGGGAACACACACTATAAAGTTCCAAGTATTGACTTTATAGTCTCTATAATGTTGTGAAAAGTTGGAAGCATTTAGCATGGAAACAACATCACATTTAAAAGGGCAATCAGTTCTCTCTGCTTTACTCAAGGTACAATAACAACATAATTGACATTACCTCTTAAATTATATACATTTTTTTTCTAAAATCAATGCATCTTTACACACACTTGTGTCATGTTCTTTTCATAATACATGATTCTACAAAATTGAATGTGTATGAACTTAGGATTCTCTGCAAACCATTACACCTCTTTACAACCACACCAAATATATCTTATATGTCATTGTATGTTTTTCTAAAGTTATACTTTCTCAATATGATTTTTAGGTGATATCCATGTTGGAAGCACTAGAAATGGGTCGAAAAGAAATGAAGTGGTTGCAAAACTCCATTGGCAATAATGTTTATCAAATGCAAAATATAAAAAAACTTCAGCTTAGAAAATTAAGCAATATTGAAATTCTCTTTTGGCTTCTTGATAGATGTCCTAATCTAGAAATCCTAGGTTTGTCTAATTCTTCCATCAAAGAGGTGCTGCCTAAAGGAAACAATATTTCCCTTTAAAAAATTGGAATGGTTGTACAACTAAAGGAATTGAGATTATTTTATTCAAATCTTCCTTTGAATTTAGGAACTGAAAATGACCCCATTCTTCAAAGGGTTGAGCTGCTGAAGTTATTTGCATCTAGCCATGTGATAACATTACTGCCTTCTTCCATATCATTCACTTGCTTGAGACATTTGGAAGTTAGCTATTGCAAAAGATTAAAAATTTGATGGCACCATCAACTACAAAATCCATGGTTTAACTTACCACAATGAAGGTTGATGAATGTATAATGATGGAAGAACTTGTGACAGTGGAAGAGAATGAAGAAAACAAAGAAGATGAGATTGTTTTTGTCAAATTAAAAACTTTAGAACTTGTATCTCTAATAGTACTCACTAGTTTCTGCAATTCCATGAACAGTGTTGTCTTTAGGTTTCCATCTCTTGAAAGTGTGATAGTCAGAGACTGCCCTAAGTTGAAAAAGTTCTCTAATAAGAGTGCAAGCACACCAATCTTGAAAAAAGTTGGAGTAAGTTTTAAAGGAGAAAAGGGGGATAATTGGTATGGGAAGATGATATAAATGCTACAATCCAAAAGATTTTCATGGATAAGGTGCACAATAATTTATTACTTTAAAGTTTCTGTATATATTCCTTTCCAATTATTTTTTCCTTCACTTTTATTTAGAGAATTTCTTACACTATTATTAGAGATCATAAAATAGTTTACATGCACACAAGAGCAGAATTTTCATTAACTTTTTTATTAGAACTTACACAAGAATTTTTTTCTCAAATAGATTTCTAATAATGACTAGTAAATTTGATATGTTTGGTATTTCTTTCATTGTTAATGTTTATGATTGCTTTATAAATCAAATATCTATATTATTTCCATTACACTCACACATTATATGAAAGAAAAACATGGTCCATTTTTAGCAAAAGAAAAGCATGATTTCAACAGCTAGCATTTTTTGTTCCATTGTGTCTCATTTACTAAAGGAAAAAAATCACTAATCAAAATTTATCTATGAGCCACATGCACCTTTCAATTGAGAAACAGATCAATAGTTATTGGATCATGTTCATTTAAACTAGAGTGATAATTTAAACTAGAGGGTTATTGGATCATGTTCATTTAACCATTAAGTAAAATAATGGGTAAACATAATCATTGATCCTTATATTTATCAAATTTTATTTTTAGTCCCTATAATTTTTTATAGTATTTTCAATCCTTATATAAGGATTAAAAGTTAAAACCACTAAAAAAACACTAAAATATTGGGGACCTAAATAAAAAACGTCACCAATCTTGCTGAAATTTTAGATACTGAAAACATTATGGAAAAAACTATAGGGACAAAAGACAAAACCCGATAAAACTATAGGGGCCGATGATTATGTTTTTTCTAATTTTAGTTCTAATTTATAATTACTTCGCTCCTATTTTAATTTTCCTTTACAATTATAAGGATAAAAATTATAGCTATAGAGAAATCATATACACTCTGAAAAAAGTTTGATGTGTCAATTGTCTTGATGACATAGAATTCTGTTTACCATGGGAGAAATTTGGAGCTTGGAGATCATCCCAAGCTACAAGAGATATGGCTTGGTGTGTAACATCCTAATTTTTTTAAAAAAATAATAATAATAGGAATTTATATTATTTGAGATTATTCAGAAATAATAATATGGTTAGAAATTTAATTATGAATTAAAAACTTAAGTTTAAAATTATATAAGAAATATTTGTTAAGATATAATTTTAAGATTTAAAATAAAAAAAATTATGTGTGTGTGTGAGTTAAAAAAAAAGAAAAGAAAAAAAAAACAGGACACTGTAGAGGTCCTACATCGATTAGACGTGGGAAGGTGAGGTGCCTCCTCACATATAAAAGGAGGAGGCACAAGCGAGAAGACGTAGAAGGAAGCAAAAAGAAATATTTTTGCAATTTGTGAAAATATAATTGTGAGACCTAAAATCCCATTTTTATATTATTTTTCTCTCTTCCTCTCACGTTGCTCGGCGTCTTCTCGCAAGGGGGGATTTTTTTTTTCTTCAGGTATGTTCAAACTTTCCTGTTTAGATTAGCATTTAAAAAATTATTTAAGTACAAAATTAATTTTATAGTTATTTTCTAAATAATATTAGCTTTCTAGTGATATGATTATTTTGTAGAATAGAGTAAATATTTTGATTAGGATTTTTTTATAGGATAGTTAATCTAATGATATAATGAATTAAAAATATAGGTTAAAGTTCTTAGAGATATAATAAATATTATAGAATATTTTCTTGAGGTTGAAACTCATGTTTAAGAATTTTTGAGTTAAACTCTAAATCTATATGGTTGAATTTATGTTGAATCTGAGATGTAGGGATGAACCTCTGATTATTAAATATTTATTTAAGTATGAATAGGTATTTTTGAGGTTATAAAAAGGTGATTTGAGGCTTCAGGATAATTTTGAAATTTTTAATTTATTTTTGGACGAATTTTTAGAATATAGAAGGATGAAATTGTGATACTAGAAATGATTTGAGGCTTAAAAAATAGTTTATTAAGGTACGAAAATTTTAGAAAAGAATTTGGAAAGTTAAATGAGGTATAAATCTTAAATTAGTGTTAATATGGATAATAGATCTAAGACTTTCTAACTCTTTAAATTAGAGTTATTTATTTTAATGTAAAATTAATATATAGTATTATCAAATAACTATGTAGATTGTGTTGACAAAGATAATGGTGAAAGAGGAGTTGTGAAGGGGAACTTGTTATTCAAGACACAAGGTAATCATTATTAATGTGTTGTAATGGGTGTGTTTGTGAATGGTTATGTGTTGTTTTATTGTTTGAAAAAATTATGAATTATTGAAAATAAATACTGTATATACTTGTTTGAAATTATTGCCAAGTAGGTTAAAAATTTATTTTTGTTTATCATGATGAGATATTATTGTTCGGATATATTCCTGTTTGGATATTTGAATGATGCATGACTTGTCAGGGTATTTTAATATATGGTGTTAATGGGAATTTCTGTTTGTTTAATTATTACCACGTGATAAGCCCTCATTGGACCCAATGAGTGGCGTGTCGCTTGGTTCAACTCACCTTTGGCCGGGTGATTTGGCATCCGAGCATGACGAAAGGAGGATATAAGGTGCAGTCATGCAAATTAAATACTTGTTCGGTTTGTTTGAAAATATTATTCGGTTAAATGTTTTGTGTGCCCACTTAGCAATCACATGATTAGTTACAACAGCATGTATCATTACATAATAATTTTTGGTTACTGGGACTTTTAAGTCTCATTCCCCGTGGTTAATATTTTTATAGGAACGAGTCCGGCCGAGAAAGCACCAGAGGTGTAACTATGGTGTATGAGACACTATCTTTTATGTTGCCTCTCATTTTGTATTATGCAATGTATCTTGTGCCAACCTAGGACATTTCTTATTTTGACAACATGTAAATTCTAATCCTTTTTATTAAATGCATTTATATGACCAAGAGGATTATGTTTGTCCCTCTTGATTTATGACCTGATTTAAATATTATGCCATGAGGATCCTATCTATCCCTCATAGTTCTAATTATTTTTTGAGATATTTTAAGACCTGTGGTATATTGTCTTGGATGTACTATGGTAGAAATTTTTCTACCATGATAAGGGTATGATAAGGGTTCAATAAAAAAAGATTTATTGAATTAATAATTTACAAAAAATCCGTTTATAAATTTGAGGGTGTTACATATTATGCCTTTTATGTAACAGCCCTCTGGGTCACCATTGCCTCTCCAAGGTCTTTTCCCAGCACTGGACAACACATATGTCACCACATGATTACCGGCTTTCCCACTGGTGGTACAGTGGTTATTCCTCACCCCACCCTCACGGGTTGACTCAGTGGTACCAGACTTCGCCTCAACTTCGTTAAGATGGTAGAGGTTGGAGGTTCGAGTCTGGGGAGGTTCTAAAAGATCCTCGTGAGGGTGGGGTAAGGAATAACCACTATACCACCAATGGAAAAGCCAGCAATCATGTGGTGACATGTGTGTTGTCCAGCACTGGAAAAAGACCCTGGAGAGGCAGTGGTGACTCAGAGAGCTGTTACATGGTACAATGCCAGTCCCCAATGGAGGCTTCAGCATGTTGACGTCGTTGAGAGTGGAAGGCTGCCATATTTTGTCACATGTGATTCCTCTCCATTTGCTTCAGTTTTTAAGAAACTTGAAATGGTTAAGAGTAATAAAATGTAATTCTGTGAAGGCAATATGTGACATCGGACCCATGCCCTCAACTG